AATATCGCGTATTGCTTGCAAAATGGTAGAGGAGAATTTTATAAAAGAGAAACATGGGCCCAGTTTACCTTCACACGAGCACTGTCGCGTCGGACACCTCGTCCATAAACCGTCCAAGGATCAGAGACAACAAGATGTACTTCAACCAAATACATTTGTCGCGATAAATCGTTCGCCACGAATCTTCATTAAACGGGCGTGTTAATCCTCGCGCTGCATTTCCTTCTTCTCCTAACGCGCGATGATTAACGATGCAACAGCGGCCACTTTGACGTCTAACTTCTCGCACACCTGCCCTTTTGTAGCGTCACGGTAATTTATTAATGTTCATTACGGCGCCTTAATTATCCCCGTGGAAGATGGCGCGAGCGAATCGCAGAAGTATCACGGCCCAGGCGAACGAGATCGGCTCCGCTTTTTCCCCCTCGCCCATCGCAATTCAATATGGCGAAGTAAGTTGCTAAAGAATCGTCCCGACGGGAGCCCCCGAAAGGCCGCTTTCACGGAGCAGCCCTCGCACTTTCCTACCGCGGAAACGGAATTACGGTCCGACGCCTCCACGACGATGTAATCTCAACCGGATTAACATATACCCGACTGTCCGTGAATCCGTCCGCGCACCTTACATTCCACGAGGAGAAAGAAGCCGAGGTGATGGACTGTGGAGAGCAAGGTCGTGAAATGAATAAAACTAAGAGAGTCGGCCCGCAAGAAATGGGTCTTTGCGATTGCCGAGCTTTTTCGTTCTCCTCCTCGTCGTCGTCGTCGTCGTCGTCGTCGTCGTTGTAGTAGAATACGACGTCGCCGTCGTCGTCGAAAGGCGAACCCGAGTTGTATAATGAACCGCGGCGGTGTTCCCTCAAAAGCGTTTCTCAGTCGTTCGACAATAGACTTCCCCGTCGCGTCTCGGATATACTTGTACGTTTCGTAATGTCACTCCTTTATGCGAGAAAGACGCGCAACAAAGAAAACTGGTATACATACTCCCCGGTGAAGCTCGCGCGCGAACGAGCGCGACATCTGATACGCTGTGCGTGATCAACGGGATAATTAGTATTCGCATTAATAAATATGTATATATTAATTCATGTATAACACCGTGCGCGCAACGGATAATAAAGAATCGTATCAATATTCGATCAGGGATTTCCCTCGCGTTATAATTCGCATTTTCACCGCGTTATAATCGTCGTGATTGGTGCGGCGCATTATATTTCGCTCATTAGCGGATTGAATATATAACATCTCGCGCGCTTTACATTACGGCCTTCCTTATGCCGCGCCGGCGATATTTTTAATTGCCGCGCTCGCGCGAAAGATGGCATTCATCGACGATCGCGTTTGTATGCACGTGACTGCGGCTACGTTTAATTAATGAAATCATCCTAATCACCGGTCTTTTGCTAACAGCCGCGCGAACGTCTCGCTGCCCGTTAGACCCGGAGATTCCACCCTTAATCACTTTATAATCAGTACGTCGAGGAGGCCAAGGCAAGAGCAGCGAAAGCGGTTTTCAACATAATAGCGAACCGCTATTATGTTTCCAAAGGCGCCGTTAATGAGGATAAAATGTTTCACGAAACTTTTTACGCCCGCTTCACCGAGAGCCGCACCACTGAAGAATACAACCCCGCCCGTGTTTGCCGCTGCCCGATCGAGGGATACGTCCCACCCCCATCCCCCCACGGGGATTCGCAATGGGCGCACAAAGTCGACCGAAAAAAATCATAATCCGGAAACCGGGAATACGCGGGATATAACGCGGGGAATATCATATTTTTGCCAGTACATCGGAGGACACGCGGACAATCCCGAAAGCTCGCGGTGTCAAAACGAAGAATGGGAAAATATCCCGAAAACATATGGGCGAGCACGCGAGGGAAAATCATGTATTCGCGCGAGAGAGAGAGACGAAAAAAACAAGGAAAAAATGAAAATTCGGGATTATACATACATTTTCATCCGACCATTCATCCGATTTCAATATTGCGATTCGTCGGGGACTTTACACCGCCTCGGATATTGCGCGGGAACGATATTTCAGAATGATGAAGTTTCGGAACAATGTATTTTTCCAGCGCGTCGTACCACCTTTTTTTCATTTCTCGTTTTCTCCCTCTCTCCCCCGGCCCCATTCCGTTCCGTCCTGCGCCCTTCATCGCTCTCTGGAGCACCGCGTGTCCGTCCAAATCGTCGCGTTCGCGTATCTATCGACGATCTCGGAAGTTATTTGGCGGCCGCGGCGGGACGCGCGGGAGACACGCGAGGAGACTGATTTTTGCAAACGAGAATATTTGCTGCAGCGCGACGGTCGGTCACAAAAATCTGATTTATATAAAGCCCGCGCTTTCGGTGCTCGGACGATACGAGCGGAGGTGCGATGCCGCGCGCGTCCCGTCGCTCGAAGGAGACGGGAGTAGGTTCGAGTGGGGAATTTTTAATTTACTCCGGCGGATTTGTGCGCCGGGAAGGGGGACGCGTTATCTCGGCGCATTTTGTAACGAGCGTTGTCGGCGCAGGTACACAATGCAGGTACCACGCCGTGGGATGGATGGAAGGAAACCCTCTCCCGCTCCCGCTTGCCAGACTTCCCTCTTGCCGCTTCCTTTCTGCTCCAGAGCCGGGCGACGCGAGATTCGCGCGAAATGGAGCTGGAGGAATCCGATTTTCTGGTGTTCGAGCCGCTCGGGCAGAAAATGACGTACTTCTAGTAGAACTATTTCCGCGGAGGCGAACCAACCCCGGACTGACAGCCCTTTCCACCACCCCCCTCTCCCCGGTTCTCTTAATGGAAATAATTACGGCCTGTTCATTGTTCACCGCGGGTTCAAGGGACGGGATCTAATTTATCGAAGACGATGAGCTCACGCGAGGGCGCGTTTAGAAAAAAAAAAAGAAAAGAAACAAGAGTGGGAGGAGAAAAGGAAGCGATTCCGGTTTTAATACCGTCGCGGGAAATGGCATGTGTGCTTGGAGATAAGCTAATGAAAATATGAAACGATATAAGAAATAAACCGACGAGTCCGATGCTTGATGAGGAAAAGCTGACGAGATAAAATGATAGTGTTTTCATTCGAAGTGACAGTGAAGACACTATTACTCTCGCGGTATCTTCACTGTCGCAAGAGTGAACGTTTCACACAGATTAAGAGTGAATTCTGACTCCATTTGCGGGAAATGTCTCAATCAGATGTTATTATATTTATCAGAGTTATCAGAGATTAGCGCAAACATGTTCCTGCAACTGCAAAGCACACTAGATTCACTTTTCAATATCGAGAAAATATTCACTCGACAATACAGAGTGGAAGATTGACTTTATATGAGGAAAAAATTACTCGAATTCGAGTAACTTCATGTTCACATCACTTTTCGGGTGAAATTTCACTCCAAGAAATTTAGGGAATATTCACGCTACTTAAAAAGTCCATCAGCTCGGAGTTGGCTGCCCGATTGAACGAGATATGTTGCAATTAGCTCACATGGGACGTTGCAATTAACTCACATCGCGATCCACGTTGCGCGCGATTAATGCTAATTATCGTGCGTATCTATCGGGCTAACATAGCCCGGGCGTTGCGTATCCGTGACGAGATAGCGAAACTTGAGGCATGGAATTTCATTTTAGCTGCAAAATTTTGCCAGCAAAATCGAACCGTGAGTAACAAAGTTTCCCCATTAATTTCTTCACGCTCGTACTTCGAGGTAATTAATTAGAATTATGAGGAAAGTTGGTGAAGCACCTGTTACGTGTTTAGAACGTTCAGAATCTCCAGAATCTTGACGAATATAGCCGACAAATACATTTTACATCGACACACGCACGCACGCGGCATCGGCTCGACCGTAATAATATCGGTGACAGCTTGTGAGAAATATATTCCGGCTGATATACAGCGTCGAATTTATCAGCAACCGAACATTCGAACGTTACATCACGACGACACCTGGTCTTTTCACAGAGTTATTTTCACCTCATCTTACGGTCATCTCTATGTAACACTAAAGCACGACTTTATTAACAGAGTGACGTCTGAATTGAAAATTATTATCTCTTTACACATTCGCTGCAAAAAGTTTTATGTTAAATTTGATACAATTTTACATATCTCAATTTTTATCCACTCTAATTTTCATGTTAATTTGACATAAAACAAATACGTAAGTAAATAACACTTATCACAACTTATCTGTGCCAGTCAACCGAGAGACGAGAGACTGTGTGCAACGTTAATACACATCTCCCGAGTTGCACTTGTTCTATTCAAAAAACGTCGCATCCGCCAACACTACGAGTATCACCGTGTAATTTATAAAGTTGGGGGAACGACAGCAATCGACCTTAATTCAGAGTCTATCAATAATGGAGCACGATGTTATACACCGGCGATAATTGCGAGAGAGAGAGAGAGAGAGAGAGAGAGAGAGAAAGAGAGAGAGGAAGAAGCAGGAAGGGGACCACTTTTAATCGCCGTTCGTAGCTACACGGTAATCACCGGGCACACCCGAGCTCTTCCAGAAAGCCACGATGACCCCTAATTGGCCACATTATTAAAATCGCATTTTCGTGATCCCAGCTGTGAGGGATCGTCCCTGCGAGCGAACGGCGATGAAGTTCCCTCGTAAAATAAATCACGCCATCCCCGTCGCGGTAATTCGGCACAGCCGCTTCTACCCTTACCGGTAATATTGGATATTTTCTTAATGGCGAAACTTCCACGGCTCCCGAATCCAGTTCATCCTCATGAACTCCCTGATAAATCGGTACACGATTCTCGACCGCTTCGATAGACCATCCCGTCGCGCGCTCTTCTGTTCTCACCCCCGCCCCCGCCGCCCCTTCGACCTTCCATTTTCTCCATCCACCTCGTGCTTCCGCCGCGGCGACGTTTACCCCGGCGCGAAAGACGGAGAGACTACACCGACCAAGTCTCTTGAACCCCGAACGCAAAATGCATATTGCCACCTTATGTGAAAATATTTCCACCCTCGCGTTGCAGCCACTGCACCAGCGACTACATCGCCGTGTATTCCGGCCCGACGACGTCAAGCCCGTTGCTGAAGATGCTCTGCGGCAAGGAGAAGACATCGCTAATATACGACGGCCAAGAGCTGCTCGTCGAGTTCAGGTTGGAAATTTATTCAACGCGATTTGTCGGCACGCAAAGGATCAATTACTCTCAAATTTTATCTCTTTTGTTGACTCAACTCGATGCACCGCTGTCCCGCGCACTTGTCGGAAAGTTTATATTATTTTTTTCGCAGGACCGGCCCGGAGGTACCGCCTTTTGATTATAATGGCTTCGTCGCGACGTTGACTTTTATAGAAATGACGACGGAGGCACCCACGACGGTCACCGTCGACACTACGAATAAAAGTCGTAAGTAATGAGAAAGTCTTTCAATTTACGCTTCCGCATTTCTGCCCACCGCTATATCGATCATAATCCATAATTTTCGCGTGTTTTATATTAATTAAAAACTAGAGCGGGAACCAATTAAGTGCCCGAGATTAATTAGAATTTCAGAATAGATCACGTATCGCGTTATTCTTACGAGATCTACAGAATATATCACCGACTTCTCGTTTGTTATAAGCAAATGCCAGTATTGAAACCGTTATTTCTCTATTATTTTAATAGTTATTCACTCTACTTAATTTTGTATTTTACACCCAAAAAAGACCTCTATTTGCAAAGTACTATTTCCTCTAATCCCATATTTTAAACGAAAACTTTTACCGAAAGAATATACCAAAAGAAAAATATCTAAAAAAATAAAACATTTATTCGATAAATACTAATAACATATTTATTTAAATTTTAAGTTCCTAATAAAATATATATTTTCTTATTTGGAAAATATTTGTTACTAGTACAAGCAAATATGTTATTATATGTATATAGTACCTACCAACAATAAATGTTAAATTTATTCTTTTTTTGTGTTCCTTTTCTAATGAAGCGGACTATTAATTAGAAATCTATCATATACTTATTCTAACCTTTTTTTTCCTTTTGAATCAGAAAGAATATATTTACTCGAAACACAGAATGCTCTTACTATAGTGAAAGAAAAGATATGTAAGAAATAATAAATATTTATTCAGTGAGTATTAATAATATATTTAGTTATACTAATATAAGATATTTTCAAAATAAAAAAATATAAATTTTCTTAAAACTTTAAGGAAATCTCTCTTAGCTTTTCATGAAAGTGACTGTTTATTTTACGTAAGTAAAAAAATTGTAAATATGTTCTTAGTATTCTCACTAAAGAAATATTTGCTGTTTTTTAAATATTTTTCTTTCACTGTAGAGGAAATTTCTGTCAAGAACAAAATTAGTATCGTAGATAAAAGAAAAAGTTCCTCGAACTTTAAGAATATTGCGGTTAGAATATTTTTCCCTGATAATTTCAGAGAAGAATCCTCTTGAAGCCATATAAAGTTTTTTAAGATTCAGAGGATCCCTCTAAAAATAAGATAATATTGTTTTCTTGGGTGTGTAATATCAAGCGGCAAAATTATTTTTGCCCGTTCATGAATGAAATTAGGATAACGTTTTGATATTGAACGATACGCGGGAGTCATGCTAAAGGGATCGACGTTCACGCGCGCCGCTGACCTTTCAGTCGAAATGATGAAGTCCGCCGGCAGCTACAACGTGCGGTACAACAATCGCGACCTCCACGAGCACCGCAAAGACCAAGGCGCCGTGACCAACAGCTGCGACCTCGAGGTGAGCGGTGAGAAGGTCCGCGCGGGCCACCACGACACTCGGGGCAAGCCCAAGTCCACGACGTGCAGGCTCGTGCTGCGTGGTCGCGCTTACGACACCGGACACGTTTCCTTGGCCAGCTACAACCTCAGGTAACACCGTTCACCCTCGCGTCGCAGAGTCGTACCTCGAACGCACGTGCGACCGCGATCGACCGGTAGCAAGAAAACCTCGAGCTCTTTGTTCTTTCCCGCGTCCCCCGACACATGGTGCTCCGATTATCCATCGACTCGGGAATCGGCGGCTAGAGTGTATCAAGTAAGAGTCTGGACACGTTTTCGACCGAAAATGGCGTTTGTTTTATCCGTCAAGGGTGCGACTCGACTCGAGAGTTAACCCATAACCCCAGAAAGCTCCCGGTACATTTATTTGTAATACTATTAATAAAAATAGGTAGTTTAATTTCTAAAAGACTAATTTTTTTTTCATATTTATCTCCCATCTTAAAATAGCGATCTCTTCTACGGAGAAATATTTAGAGGTTTTTGTAGAATCTCTTTATATGATAATCCTCAAATCCACTATTTTCGATCAAACAGAAAACTAGACGAATCAGTAAGAAGTCGAGGGTCTCCAGACTGCTACCTGAGAAACTCTATCAGCGGCAAGCGTGATGCGGAATTATATCTCGCATTTGTTTACCGTTTCCGATCGCGTCTCTCGACGTTGGCAAATCCGCGACGGATTGCGATCGTAACTTACTCGCATCGTGTCGTGTTGCAAAAATGGTCTGTCCGTTGATTAATGCGCCGGCCATGCGGGTGCCATAAGTCCTACCGTTCACATCGAGTGAGAGCGCTCTCGTTACTCGTAATAATGTCGATATTAGGCGCATGGAAAAAAGAGCAGGGGAGATAGACGGTTCGAAATAATGATAATATTAATTAATAACGCGAGACATCATCAAGACACTGTCATACTCTTTAAATTTCTTGAGGTAAAGTTTCACCTTAACGAGTTTTCACTCAAAACGAGTGAAAGGTGGCAGTGTTTCCACTCGTAAAAATATTGCTACCCAAAGAAACAAGAGTGAAACCACAAGAATGAACCGAAATGTCAAGATTAAAATGGATTCTAACTCCATATTCCATGGTTATGCAAAAGTGGTCCAATTCACAAAATTATACTTAAGTTTTTTGTTACCAACGAATACTCCATACGTCTTTCTATATAAAACAAGAAAGATTCAAGTCTTATAGTTTAAAATTAATTAAGAAATAATTTTTATTTTCTGCTAGTCATTTTTTATTAGTTAATATCGTTTCTTATTAGTTGTAACTTTTTATCATTTTTATTCATTTGTTTAAAGATTAAATTATCAATAAATACCCAAGAAAAGAACATTCATCATGGTTGACTTCTTTAAACTCGCAAAGTAAACTCACAAGTAAACCTACTCAAAAGTTACACTCCGATTTCTTTCTAATTTAGCACAAATATAGAAGTACAAAAAATATTTAAACCATATTTTTTTAATTTTGGCGCACTTTGAGTTTCACGGGCAGTTTATAGCTTTTTAATATTCTCACTCCTATCATCAACAAATACAACAAAAATGCATAAGAAATAAAATTGAATACAAAATATAGTTAAATAATTTTAACAAAATCGGCATAGCTGAGACACGAACCATTCTAAATTTCTTTAGTCGAGATTTCAACCGAAATATTTTAAACCTGTGTTAAATTAGTCAAAAATGGTTCGAATCTCGACCAAATCGAGAAATCCGGTAATTTTAATTAAAATTTTAACAAAATCAGCATACCTAAGACAAGAACCATTCTACATTTCTTTAGCCGAGATTCCAACCGAAATATTTCAAATCTGTGCTAAATTAGTTAAAAATAGTTCGAATCTCGGCCAAACTGAGAAATTATTTGTATAAATAATTTTTTTCAACTTTTTACATGTTTCGTTTAAACATTTTATTATTTATACAAATAATAGGAGTGAAATTAAAAAACTATAAACTACCCATGAAACTCAAAGGAAAGCAAAATGAAAAAATATGACCTAAATATTTGTTGTACTTCTACATTTGTGCCAAATAAATCGGAGTGTACTTTTTGGGTAGGTTTACTTGTCAGTACTATTTGTACTTTTGAAGTCATGTATTAAATGTTCATTTTCATTCTTTTTGAAACTTACTCTATATAGATTGAATCATTTCTTTGTAATTACAGCCACATAAGCGAATGTTTGAACGGATTGGAGTGAATATGTTTCTCTGACGGCGAAACGAGGTAGAGTGAAGAAAATTCACTTTATATGAATTAAAAATAACTCGAATTCGAGTGACTCGGCTCACTCTACTCGTGTGACTTTATATACTTTTCGAGTGAAATGTCACTTCAAGGAATTTAAAGAGTAATATCTAGAGATCCGGTCGCGTTGCATGCGCGAGACGTCGAGACGTACAACCCCGAGAAACACTCATTTGGTGACACCCGTGGCTGTGTACGCGGGGGAGAAGTGTTGTTCCCCGATCACGCGCGTCGTTATGCGCTATGTTCCGCCCGCAAAACTCTTATTTCACCGTTAGCGGGGTCTCGCGTAACTTATCGAAACGGCGCCGGCGAGATCTCACCCCGAGGCCGAGCGCGTGGAAAGAAGCATTAAATCATGCGTGGAAACACGTCGCGTCCGTATCCCGGGGATTTTCAATTATCATGCACAATGCCGGCGACACGCGCGGAACACGTATCCACACCTTCGGAGATGTGTTCGCGTCGGGAGATGGAATATGCCGCGAGGAAGGGGTGAAACTACCACGGAGCCACCGTCGACGCCGCCGTCGACGACGACGACGCGACTACGAGGACGACAGTAACCCCTCCCCCCACAACCCACCCTCTCCGCCCTCAACGTTGCGCGAACACGCCGCTGTCGGCTCCGAGGTTCCAAGAGCGCGGATATACGAGCTGATATAAACTGAAGGCGCGCACGCTTGTGCCGGGCACGAGAGACGTAGGGCAGAGACGGCTTTATACAAGGTACAGCATGAATTTTGAACGGAATATTGTAAATCCAAGCGCCAGGTGAACCGAGAAATCCGCCCCCGAGCACAGGGGAATATCGCGCATTCCCTTTTTCACTCGGCCGGCCGGCCACACCGTGTATTCCTCTTCCCTCTTTTGTCTGCGCTTTCATCCCGCGCTTACTACTGGCGGTACGCGTAATAGCGACACCCGACCGTGCCGGATTTGCAGCTTCTTCTCGATCGCGGCGCGCCGCGAGACGCTTCGATTGGACGCGTCTATGGATTATTTCGCGATGTAGGACCGACATGATGGCTTGACATTTCCATTTTTTCGAGAAATTAGAGAAAAAGATCAAGAAGAGATTAAGGGAAAGTTCTTCCGCTTCTTTTTTTTAGACAGCCGAAAGAATAAAAGATTCTTGCGGATTTTTTTCCAAAGAAATGAGTAAAGATATCAATACGGGGCTTTAACTATACCGTTTATGATTGTTTTAAATATAAAAAAATTGCTTGAAAAAAATTGAAATTTCGTTTAGGTTTCTTGTCGCCGGACGCCTTTGACTCTGACGACTAACGTTAACGAATACCTCTGAAAACCTTTGAGATGAATGATTCAAGAAAATTAAAAAATAGTATTAAATTTGCTGGAAGATAAATCTGAATCTTTTGGAAAATTTCCGAAATTGCTATTTTTTTCCCAGGATATTCTACATAAAAAAGAAAGAGAGAGGATAAATTATTTGTAACTTCCAAGTATCTTCTTTTAATTAAATTTCAACTTTTCACATGAAATAAAGTTTCATTCTCCAGCAAGTTTAATACAGTTTTTAAATGTTCTTGTCCCATTTGTGTTCCAGACTATTACACGACCTGTAATGTTGCAGTTTGAAGATATTTTTTAAATAGTTTTTTATTTTTAAAGCAGTGTGATAAATAGGGCACGGTTAAATCTCTATATTGCTATCTTTATTTATTTCTCGGAAAAAGAATCATAGAAATCTTCTATTTTTTTCAATTATCTGAACCAAAACCTCTCCTTAAGAGTCAGTTTAGAGATAATGGTTTTCTTTTTCTGTTCTTTTTTTGCAGGAATCTTTCGAATTAATCACGCGATTGTTAAAATTTGGCGATTACGTTGAGTCCTTGGGTTTTTTTCAGAAGATACATTAGATCGCTAATGCAGCTTAAGCTACTCGCAGGGGAACCGACATATCGATGTGAGATTTCCTCGCGAACAAGAGAGTGAGGTCCGCGAATTTCCGCGAGCACGTCGTGAGATCGTTTGATGGATATGTTCGTGTTATCGATTTTGCAGCGCGCAGTCCTGCCAGTCGGCGATCGAGATATTCGACGGCTCGCCGGAAAGCGGGATGCTCGATACCGCCACCACCTTGGAGAGGATCTGCAGCCCTGCGCAGTGGCTCCCGCGGGAATACGCGGGTCAAGATAAGTAAGTGGATTCTCCGGTTATTATAGCGGCTCGTAGAGAGGACCAAGTACATCTGTACATATATATACATACACATATATACATGTATGTATATTCATGTATGTATGCGCGTGTACACACTATCGCACGGTTTATTGGTGATGCATTGTAATTGTAAGTTGGCAAATTCGGGAATTCCTCGGCGCAACTCGCGGCGCGATGCGATGCGAGACGCGGCTTAAACCGAAACTGGTTAAGTCTCCTTAGAAACTGCATCAAAATGGAGATTAGTTCCTAACTGCTCGCAGCGGTGCAAGTCGGTTAACGATGCGACCAATCCTGCGGCGAACTACGCGGGTCTCGGCGGATGCAAATTTTTTATCCGCCTCTACGTCAATACACGGCCTTCTTTCTCATACACACACGCACAGGCGACCACGTGTGTATCTTGAGACTCGTATTCGTTACATCGTGTTACTGAACAACAGCTGATCCGACTTGTGTAATGAGGTAGCTACGTTTACGACCCCAAGTCGCGTTCCGAAGAGACAGCGGAGGGTCGCCGTGACATGTAAGCGTGAAACAACCCCAGCAGATCCATCATCCCCCTATTCGAGAGCTAACCGCGACACACAAAGCGCTACCTCACGCTCATCTCGCCGGAAAAGCCAAAGATGACTGCTCTCTCACGCTGCATCCGCGTGCGCATTTGTGCATGTTCGGATGAAAGGACGTTAGTGGACACGGATGACAGTTCTCTGAAATCGTTGAGTCCGTTCCCCGGCGTGCAACGCGCGCAAGCTTCCCGATGCAATTATTCGTACAGAGCTATTCTAAGGGCGATGCCTCTCGCGATTCGTCGAATCGGCAACTGCCGCGAAATCACCGACGAGAATTCGACGCACTCAAAAAAATGGTCACATAGCAAAAGTTATTTAGATATAAATATCAGCTAAGATGGATGAACGACCGGCGAACACTCCGGCAAATACACTGCGATATCGCGTGTGTTTTGTATTTAATCAATATAGATAACGGAGACAGAATTTATATCTGAACTATTGGTAAAATTTGGCGAGAAAGTCTCCCCGTGGCGCCCGTCCAGATTAAGGCCGGATTAATAATTGGCAACGGGACCTAAATTTCTTGTCCGCAGGTATTGCTAGAATACTGCTGCTGTAAATTCTACGTGTGCCACAGACAATTTCCTAGCAGATACAAAAAACAGCGATAAATTTTAACTGCGACATTTGGAATTATACCTGGTCTAGCAAAACATTTTTTTGAATGCGCGACCTCCGCTACACCACTTCTCCAATTGACAGATCTGTTATATATTGTCTATATGTGTTGTAAGCAACGTTAAATACCAGAGAATGTTATTATAATAATCAGAAATTCTCTTTAGTTTAACCAAACACATATTAATAAAACTGTGTTCTTCCTTTTCGCATGTAGTCATCGTAAACAGGCACCTGAATACAGATTACTATACACACTGTAACTTTAACCGGTATTATAATGTTCTAGTTGCATAGCAGAGTATCTCATTATAATAATCAACAAGTCTGTTTATCTTCGCCGAAATTTGTTCAACTAAATATGCCGCGTTAATACGGCCTGTTTTTTTCCGCGCGCGATTCTTCAAAGAGTCGTGTCGATTTTCAACTTCGAATTCTCTCGCTAAATCGGGACTTTTTTATCTTTCTTTCTTTTGAACTCGGTCTCGCTTCAGAGAGGGTATGCACGAGGTAAGTCGAAGGTCGTCTTTTATGCACGTTCGTACATCGAAATGCGCATTTTACGATTATGGGTCTCTCGCGCGTCGATAACGGCACGGACGGAATCGTATGGCTCTAACTACTTATTCTATTTTTCCTCGGCTGTGTGTCCCCAGTTATGTATAATTCCGCTGTACTGTCGCAAAAGACGTAAACCCATAAAAAAGCGTAACAAAAATTTATGGGCGTAAACCGGAACAGCTGCTTGCGCACGCAGTGTGTTTCGCTCGTAACGTTCCCGTGATAGCGCGATTTTTACGAGGGGAATCCTTCGATTACACGGCAAACTCGTTTAACGTTGATTAAATCACGTGAAAAATAATTCTCCAGGGGCACGCACAAAACCAGCGCGCGCCCGTGCGATTTTACGCGGGCATTAGCGTTTCTCGTGAAAAAATAAAAAATTAAAAAAAAATAAAAAACACGCACAACCGCGTTTTATAATATTCACTCAGTTCGCCCGTTTATTCCGCGCCTATTCACATCTTTGTTCGACTTTTTGGTTTTCGTAAAATACGCGATGTGCCGCTATAAAAATGAAGCGTACACACGCGATATGTGCTCGTTACTAAAATACATACACTGGTTTACCGCATGCGCGCGAATTGAAGCATCGGTTTTACGAGCGTGGTTCCTTCGATGACATCGCAAACATTTAATTCCGCGTAATTGTGTCGGACTTTTAAATCGCGCGTTTCCATCGCTGCGTCGTTTTCACTCAAAAGAAAATGGTCCCCCTCGTTTCTCTCTCTCTCCCTCTCTCCCTCTCTCTCTCTCTCTCTCTCTCTCTCTCTCTCTCTCTCTGTCACTCCTTTTATCACTCGTTCGCGTGTCATTTATGGTACAAATACTTGCGTACGCTCGGCCGGAAATATCAGGCGCGAAACGCGCATTTTATGGGCGCGGTTCTTTCGGTGTGATAAACATTTAATGCCGATCGATTCACTGGCGCGAATAATAATAAATGTGAGCGCGCGCTGGGCGTTGATAGAATACTGTTTAATCCGCTTAATCCTCTTGCCGCTCTACAATTTATGACTTGCAACGTTTGATCGCGCGCGCAAAATCCGCAAAGAAATTACGCGCACGCGCGCGCACTCGAACGGATAAAAATTCCAAGAATTGAAGTTCATGTCGGGCGCAAATAAGCGTTTTACAGAAACTAGCTGCATTGCGACGAGAAAAACGACGATAGAATTATAAACGCGCGCGACTGACAAGAATAAATTCTCCTGGAGCGAAATCGTTATAAAGTCGACGTGTAAACGGAGGAAACCGAATGCTATTGAATAGCACGAAGGAATATGATACCATCCTCGTATTACATCGTGTCCGAAATTACACGCGTCCATCATCAAGTGATAAACCACCATAACGTAAATTTGGAATTCATAATACGTGCTCCTTTTGGCGAGGTCGAGATATCGATGTAAGAATGAGATGCTTGATAAGAATTCAAGGAAGGTAGAATGGAGGTCATATCAAATGAAAAACGTGACGAGAAAGATATTTGAAGGGAGATTTTTAGCCATACATATTGAGCAGCGACATAGTATGCGAACGGAGCGGGTTGCATCCCAAAATACTCGACTCCCTGGATCCTTATATCGACTGTTATTTGACCTAATTCCGTGACTTTGTCTTTTTATCGATGCGCTGGCAAACGATGCAAAACTCAACTCGAAATGCGTTCTGCTAATAACGGCAAAATACTAAAACGACGCCTTTACATCCCCAAAAAAATATAATCTTATCCTTAACAGGTTGCGGTGAATATAAAAGTCCTATACCGTTTTGCGATATTCGCTATAATTATCGAGATATTAATTGTAGAAAATTTGTGAATGATCATGCAGAATATGGTAAATGAGTTATAGTAGCGAAGCCCTCGTGTACTTATACTTTAGGTCAAATTGAACAAAAAAGTCCTCTAGCATTTTGCAAATAATATTAATTAAAGAAGATGAGTGCATTATCATGCAAAATCGTGCAATAATCTTCTTTAATTTATAATTAAAAACATATGTGATTATTTGGAAAATGATAGAAGACTTTTTTGTTCAATTTGACCTAAAGTATAAGTACACGACGGCAGTCGTCGCTATTATAACTCATTTACCATATTCTGTATGATTATCCACAAATTTTCTACAATTAATATCTCGATAATTATAGCGAATATCGCAAAACGGTAATAGGACTTTTATGTTCACCGCAACCTGTTCTACGTTCCCACAAAATGCCCGGAGGAGAGTGTGAGACACCCTGTATATATATATACAGGGTTGGCAAAAAGTCCGGAAACGGTTAAATATCTCGAAAAGGATCAACTGTAGCGAAAAATATATAAGTAGCAAAGTTGTAGGGCTTAATAAAATGTACCTAATGATGGCTAAAAATTTGACTTTGAGTGGAGGACGAAGGTCATACGGAGGTCAAATTAAATTTTTTAAATTGGACCCCCCACTTTTTATTACATATTCTTATAGCTTATTTCAAGGGTTTTCCAAAAACCTATAATAAAGTATTTTTGTATTAGGCATATTTAGAGTTATGAGGCTTGAAAGGATTTTGGTCTTTAACTGTTTCTGTTTCGTAAAAACGTATCACTGTCTTCTGAACAGTGGATTTAGAAATAAAATTGCGATCAGGATATGCAGCATTGAATGTGTAGATCAATTACTTATTCGTATGATCTAATATGGTCTCAAAATTTTCGATAAAGAAACAGCATTATCTTTTCTTTATCGGTTAACATTTTTAAAAAAGAAATTTGAAATTGTGGTTGGAAAAAGAAAAGGAAAAGACAAAGAGTAAGATGCGAGAGAGCACGACTCGTTTTTAAAATACAAAAATCGAGAAGCGTTATCATGAAGCACGGGTATGCGCGAGTTTTGACTGAGTACGTGTGATATTACGTCGTGAATGAATAACCGCGTTCGATGTGAACGAATGAACAACTAGGCTAGGAGCCTAAAAAACATAAACACAGGAGAAAAACAAGAATAACTTTATTTTTCGTATCTCGAGCTAGACGATATGACCGACTTAGTTATGACTAAAACTTTTTTTTAGTCATTTATATATAGTGTGTGTGTATATACACACACACACACACACACTATATATATATATATATATATATATATATATATA